CTTGAAACCTCAACAAAGGGGGAGTACTATCGCCGATAACTCTCCTTTCCCAGTATGAGAGACACTTGAGGCCTTGTTACTCCGTTATTTACTGACCACCTGAGTCTAGAGACCATCAGCATGGCTTCGCCAGTGCGCGCAGCACCACCACAGCACTTAGCGTCATAAACGCCCAGATAATCAATGGCCTAAAACCAGAAACCCTGAGGAGGACGATCCTCTTAGTGTTGGACCTGTCGCTTTGACCAAAGAAGCTACAACGCTACTGAGGACCTAGAACAATTTAGCCGCCCTCCAGGGCTGAAGCGGTGGACCATGAACCACCTGGAGCGGTCGGCATTCATCCGTACCTGCTCTTGATGCCACACTACAACTTAAGAACTAAACAGAGGTTCCACAGGGCGGTGTCCTTCCCACTACTGTTTAATTTCATATTTCAGCTCCCACAACCAACAGAGGTAATTAGACCTGTACGCTGATGACTGCACGATATTGACGTCGGCAATGGAATCGAGGCCTGCGCTCAAAAGCATACAGCTACCTTCCGACTTTTCTCGGTTCTTCATGCGAGTCTGACACCTCCACTAAATCTACAGCGACCATATATTCATAGACTGACGAAGGAAATAGACTGACCTGAACATTTCAGTCGATGGCACAAAATTCCGACAGTTAATAACCTAAAATTTTAGACGTAATATCGGACAGGTCTGGAAACCTCACCTCGGCACGACCGCGCGATAACTGCCAAAGTACAGAGCCGCGACAAAACTCAACATTGCTCGGCAGCTCTTGTAAGGAACAAGATGAAACGTTTTCGGCCGTGCCTTACAACCGCATCATCCTATGGTCGCCTTGATGAGTGCAACTCAGACGAGGAAGTTTCAGACTCGTCAGAACACTGCACCTGACTTCACGGGATGCCTCATTAAGTCCCTAACCAGAAATTGATTAGACGTGAGGCCTGTATGCTTCTGATTAAGGAACATACATCTCCAAGCAGTTTCTGTAGAACCACCCTGCAGTCGTCGTTCTGTTTGAACGGAAATCGCCTCCTGAACATCAAGAGGTCATTCTTGATTACGTCGACAACATCAGACAGTACACGCTGACCGATTTCGAATACAACGAACTACAGACAAGTGACCTGATCACCAGCACAGTGGACCATTAACACCTTCATACTGACTCTCCAGTGAATGGCGTATATCCTAGGATCAAACCACCACTAATAGCAGACGTAGAGCCGAGTTATTCGCGAAACCAAGTGACCACACGCGAACATTTATTCTGGCATATTGTAGCGGTTAACTCACGATAGACCCTCATTTCAAACATATGTGCTGGTGCAATCAGGCTCATAGATACTAATCTCGCAGTAAACAACTAAACCCAACTCATCTAACACCCTTTCCTATGGTCCGACCTCGTCTAAAAGCCCTGTTTGGGCTTCCGTTAGATGACCCGACAAAACCAAACTACTCACATCATCCAAGCGGGGACTATACAACCATTACAAACAAAAACTGGAAGGCTCGTGGAAGGAGCGTTTGGTTTTCTCCAAACCAAAACGCGACCGAAGAACTCATCATATCACCTCTGGTATGCTCGAACGATTGGTAATAAAAGTATAGTAAGAAACCGCTTGAGTTACAATCCAAAAAGCCGGCAGATTATCAGAGAGACAATACGTTTAAAAAGAGGTCCACATTGACTTTAGTGTGAGTTATTTTGAGAACAGACGACACAGATGAGGGTACTATCTGAGCAGATGAGGGTGCTATTCGACAGATGAGGGTACCAGAGTACTCAATTGAGTGAGTACCAAAGGTCTGGTATGACCCCTTCTTTGGAACGCGATGTACGACGGGGAGCTACATCAAAAAATCCTGAAACTAATCGCCTATGGATGACCTAGACACCAACAAGGTGTTATTTCGGCGATCTAACCCTGTTTGGATTGGAGTTGTCTCATTGAGAACGCCCAGGCAGGGTTGCGTACGTACCTCCGACCGTGCTGGCATCGACTCCAACCGACCCGAGGAATTTTACCGCTGCGTGTGCAAAGGTCATCCTTTCCATTCCATAAAGCGGAACGCATCCTAGGAACACTCAAGGTCATTCCTTGATTACGTCGACGACATCAGACAGTACGCGACCGATTTCGGACCCAACGAACTGAAAGCATTGACCACCATTCATTGGAGCCATTAACACTTCATCGACTCCTCTTGTGAATGGCGTCACTGGAGTCAAACCACACCCATAGCAGACTGTAAGCTCGAGTCTGCCTCGAGAAATCAGAGTGACCAGCACTTCCGTTCTGGATATATAGCGTCAAACTCCTACTTATCCAGAAAGACCCGAATACCAAACACATGTCCTGCGTGCAATGAGTTTCCGCATGACACTAACCACCTTTGATGCCACGAACCCTATCATCTCACACACCTTTCCTATGGTCCGAACTCGTCGAAACAGCTCGTTCTGGCCCTCGTTAGATGACCTCGACGACACAATCTGGAATTTATATCCAAACGGGATTAGTAACCGTTACAACAAAACATGACCTCTAGTGGTAGTAGCAAATATTCAGATGACTCATAAATGCAATGATGTATAAATCGTATACGATATGCTCGCAACCATGAGTTCAGAGCTGGCTGACAGAAAACAGAGGTCTTGCTCATTAGCTCCAGGAAAATTGAAGAAAACTATCGCTCACCATAGAGAACTTCATATAACTTCACAGCCACAGCTGAAGTACGGTGTAAATGTGAGGCACAAAATTTAAAGAGACCTGGAAAACACGATCAAAGTAAACAAAATCTATAATTCTTTATCTACAGATTAAATAGAGGCTGTGCGTTCCAGCGACGATTTTTAAGAAGCAAGAGAATGAGGTCTTCAATTACTGTATGAGCATCCAATATGGATCCAGGCGCAGACACAAAATCATATGTGATGAATAATCAATGTATAGGCTTTCTGCAATACGCGTGATAAGTGCTTTCCGGAACCGTATCAAGCGACGCTGCAGAAGTATTAGCCACTATGGTGCCATGACATATTCAAGGAAATGAATTTCACGCTATACCAGCTAATGGAAATTCTCTACAGCAACAAAAGAGAGAAATAACAAGAGTTATTCACTGTGGCAGCAACGGTGGCAAACCTCATCCAGGGACGGTGACTCAGACTGATACCAGACATCAGACCGTGATGATAGACTGCATGTGACCTGATTTCCACCACCCTAATATAAGTGGACATGAATGCTTTAGAAGCTACCTTTACAAATTTTCATGACTATAGTCCGTACTGTCGACGTGCAGAGTGTATAAAGACTCTAAACATGTTTTTACATTGCCTTTGTCTTCAAGTATAAGAGAAAATATGAAACCAATTGGGTGTAGTTTAGAGTAGTGAAATTTGACAGCACTTAGTGTGAGTCCTCTATTAAAGGAAAGCTGTCAGCGAAGTACCGCTGATAATGACAAGATTGAGAACTTACAACAGATTAGAGTCAGTCAGTCCACCTGTAGAGAGACTTAATGCTGCTTTCCTGCTGAAGTAATATTTGTACATGGTTCATGGAGAGATTTGGTTGAGTAGTGAGGTAGTGATTGTTCCGCAATTAGCTTGATGCTTCCCTACTATCTAAACAAACAAAACCACCGTCCAACGCGCAAAATGTAGACATCTATTTTTAACTTTTGATCTCCTGAATCAACGATTTTGCGCAAATAACCCGATAACCTTTTTAACTTTATTTTCAATAATTATTCAAGGTACAGTAAACAATTATCTAATAAATACTGAATTTGATATTTCAACGAGTATATTTTTACTTTAATTTAAAGTTAACTGAAAGTCTGCGTGGAGTGGTACCAATCAATTGTTAAATATAGTTACGTTTTTGAATTTAGAAATTTAACCCGATAATCAACGTAAGAATTTATATTTTCATATATAGATAAATAACTATATCTAAACATTTAAAGCTGTTGAACTTAGCTGTTACATATTAAGAGGCTATAATCAAATAACTGTTTGGAGGTATTATTTTTGTCTTATCGATACATCAAAATAAATTTTTTTAATTTTACATTTTATTAAAGGACATACCTTTAAGGTATGGTATAGCCATAAGGTGTAAGGACACATAAGTTGATCTCTCAGTTCATTACAGGGACAACTTTATGAAACTCAAATATTCAGTAATCGAATTACCATTGGATATATTATACAAAACTTTATTTGTTAATAATTTGATTTAATTCAAAACGCCACCAAATAATTCAAAATTGTTATTAAATTCATTCAATATTAATGGACTATTATTGGCTACAATATATCTTTAACTATACGATGTTATATCTCAACTATTACTGCTACACAAATTCTATTATTTTAGTTTTGTCAGAATTAATATAAAAAGAATTTAGATGATGCCAAATAATAGGTGAAAACTTTAGTTTAGCATCCACGATTTCAGGTTAAGAGGTATGGTTGCATAGAAGTATCTCCAGATCACGAATTAAAATGGAAAATTTAGTTCATAATATTTGTAGAGGTAATTGGTTTTATTTATTTTGATTGCTTTATCTACTTGGATATGACAAAACTTATTATGATAACATGAACCTATGTTATTGTCATATAACGAAAATTGTAAAATTAAATGCTTATTTAAAGAAATATCTAAATATTTAATATAAAATAAATGTAGAAACATTGAAGTGAAGTGTTAGTGTATAATAAGTGCATAATAAAAGAAAGTTAACCATAACTAGAGAAATTAAAATAAATTTGGAAATTTTCAACTTAAAATGCAAATATCTCCAAAACTATAAGTATTTCCGGCGGCAATAATATATATAATTCGTGATCTGGAGAATCTCCTCTATCCAACCATACTTCTCTTAACCCTGAAATCGTGGGAAGCTAAACTAAAGCCGACCCAATACGGGAACATATGTATGTACATACTTGTGCTGTTGATAGTATTTTTTTGTTTATATTTAATTACTTAACCCACGGACATTCTTTATTTTCTTTCCAATTTGAATCGCCATCACTATACAATTCTTTTTTCCAAATAGGCACAGATTTCTTCAAGTGTTCAATAGTATATGAAACTGCGTTTAATGCGGCTTCTCGATGAGGAGACGATATAGCAATAACAACGCTTGCTTCCTTAGGAGCAACCAAACCGAGACGGTGATGGATTGCGATGTTCACTACATCTTGCCAATGGGAGCGCACTGCAGCGCAAATTTTTTCAAGTTCTTTTTGAGCCATAGTTTCATATGCTTCATATTCAAGCGAACGTACCTATAATGAACAATCATGCTTGAGTTAAATTCAGCTATTTTTTTAAAAGCACTTAATTATGTACCATTTTTCCTTCAAATGAATTTCTAGTTGTCCCTACGAATATGGAAACAGCACCACAATCTTCATGAAACATTGAATTTGTGATGGCTGCAACATTCAAGGGATCACGGGTAATTGATATAAAATTAGTCATATCTCTTTATCCTCCACTAATTGCTGGAATAATAGCTACCTCGTCGCCTTCTTGTAAGTTTAAGAAATTATCACAGTAGCACTCGTTTATTGCTATAACACAACTATCCTTTATACAGTCTAGTTGAAAGTTTTGGCAAATCTGGTTTAAGAGTTTGGATACTTGTATGTGCTGTTCAGTAACAAAAGTTGATGAACTTAAGCCAGAAACTTCACGCGCCTTGGCAAAAAATAATACTTTAACTTCCACTAAATTTCTTTCTTCTTCACAGCTCATTACCAACAATATTCACGATGACTATTTTATATCTGATATCTACATATATTTTGACGAACACGGATAATAAAATAAAATCGTAAAAAATCGATAAATTGCCAGAAGCAACTAGACAGCGAATTCGTAGTTGCCAGAATGTTCTAGTGGTGAAGTTCTAATTAGAGTACTGCCGTGTAAAGAGCAATTGAGATATAAGTAATACCGACAGCGAACAATTTGTAGGAATTTATCAAGGAGTTCACCACACATGCACGAGAAACAAATAACATTTCTCGCTTTTATAACAGCGGTGAATCTGTAAACATACGCTCTCTTAACATAACCAACCGACGACTATTGAAGAGAATATAATATGTAAGCAACAAAATCATTCATTTACTTGACCCCATTATGGAGGCACAAAAGTATAGAATTGTGTTTTGCCGTCGGCATTTCACATTCATGCTTCAATTTTTCTGTTCAAATGCATGTGTAAAGTAATTATGTACTTACATATATTATGTCGTTTGCACATTTGTATGTATTTGTATGTATATATGTACACTCAATTCTTCATGTGAAACCTCCGTTGAGACGTTTTTTGCTTTTATGTCAAAGAGTCAATCTGTCGAAGGACTGACGCGACGACAAAGCGTCACAACATTGTGTTGTTGGTAGAAAATCCGAGATGTGCCGAAAAATAAACGAACGCTCGCCGATTGTCATCGCTTCCCTTGCCGCTCTAACAGCTTTGCCACAAATCATTGTAGGTATGTATGTTTTTATATGAACATACATACATATTGACGAAGATTTTTGTCAGCCAAATAAAAATATTTTAGAATTGTGAAATATTTTAAATCGACAAAAGCTTTGTTGCCACTTTTGTCATTGATTTCTGTGTTTGCAGGATTGTCACTTTTCCCTTCTAGAGGGAACATCAGAAAGATGTGCAATTTATGATTTCTAGCTTTTGCCATCGTCGCGAAAAGGCACTTGTTGGCAAAGGCATGCTCGGGGAGATGTGTAAGTCGTTTGCTTTTATGAATGAAACGACTTAGGTAGCATATTGATTGTGCGCCATCGTTCATGAATGAAAATGTTGTTGGTGTGTGATGTACTACAAATTTAGGATTTGTCAATTTGGCTGCCATATTGATGTCTGGTGCTGATGCTATTTGAGACAATTGTTGCTTTTGTACAACAATGTTTGTATTTTGCCAATTGGCTGACGTACTTACATTTGTACGCTTAAATGTATGTAGATTTGTGTATGCATTACTTATTTTGCGCGGTCGTACGCATATTTGTACATACATACTTACATATAGAGCAGTGCGCTCACATGTTTTCATTGATAATTGATAATATATTATTACAAGTATATTATATAATATAACATATTGATGTACATAGGTACATACATAAATTATTAATTTTGTAACAACTGAAATTAGAAAATTATGAAAATAGTAAAATATCATTTCTGGGAAAACTTTAGTTAAGAGGGGTATGGTTAGAGAGAGGAGATTCTCCAGATCTCGAATATATATAGTTATTACCGCCGGAAACTTATAGTTTTCGAGATATTTGCATTTTAAGTTGAAAATTTCACATATTTCATTTTACAATTTTTCGATTTATGGTTATCTTTTCTTTTATATTATGCACTTATTACACACTAACACATCACTACAATGTTTCTACATATTTAATTTATATTAAATATTTAAGTATTTGCTTTAAATAAGCATGTAATTTTTACACAATTTTCGTAATATGAACAATAACAAAAGGGTTCCATGTTGTCAGATAATAAGTGTTGCCATATCCAAACGGATGAAAGCAATCAAAATAAATAAAAAACCCAATCACCCTCTACAAAATATTATGAACTAAATTTTCCATTTTAATAAGAGAAAAAGGTTTTATGGCTTAAACGTATGTTTTATTGCATCTGATAATTTCTCAAATGGATCATGATGCTGATTTACTATATTTTTACGCCATATGTATTCATATATGAAATTTTCAAAATCCTCACTGTTATTATAATTATCCTTAATAAAAATTGAAGTTTATAGAGAGTGATATATTCTCTTTAACATTGCTTTTTTTTTGTTAAGATTTTTTATTTGCACTGGCGGCCTTCGGCCGCGCTTCAAAAAAATAACCCTGGTAGGTCCAACACCGGGGTGTTCATAATTCAATCGCGTCAAACTTCTTTCTGCACTGGCGGCCTTCGGCCGCGCTTCAAAAAAATAACCCTGGTCGGTCCAAAACCGGGGTGTTCATAATTTAATCGCGTCAAACTTCTTTCCGCACTGGCGGCCTTCGGCCGCGCTTTAAAAAAAATAACCCTGGCCAATCCAATACCATAATTTATCAATAGAAGGGAATGAACAAAATTATAGTTCATGTATTTGGGGTATAATCCTCTTTTATTGTTCATTTTAATTCGCTTTCAAAATATATATTTATATATATAGGTATATATATATAATAGATATGGCAACACTTATTATCTGACAACATGGAACCCATTTGTTATTGTTCATATTACGAAAATTGTAAAAAAATGAAATGCTTATTTAAAGCAAATATAATGCATAATATAAAAGAAAAGATAACAATAAATCGAGAAATTGTAAAATGAAATATGTGAAATTTTCAACTTCCGGCGGCAATAATTATATATATTCGTGATCTGGAGAATCTCCTCTATCCAACCATACCCCTCTTAACCCTGAAATCGTGGGATGCTAAACTAAAGCCCACCCTCATTTCTTGCATAATCTTTCACATTGTATCAATGTAGCATATGTGCAAAAAATCATATTTTATCAATTTTTCATCATAAAAATCGTTTATATGGCAAAAAATAATCATGCCTATGTGTAGTGGCATTTGTATTTTTTGTTTTCTCGTTCATTTCGCTTCATTTGTCTCTTTATATTGGGAGATACGTAATTTGTCAGAGAATGTTGTTATAAAATCTCATTTCTGTTAAATAACAGCAAATATTACAGAAAATGGTGAACTCCTTGATCTCAATTTTTCAGCCAACCAATCGAGCATCATACAAAATTCAATTTGCACCTTCTCGTTGTTTTAAGTTCTCTGGTAATACTATGTTCGCACCGAATTGAAATCCTCTTGAAAACACAATTTGTGGATTGTGACATTGTGTGTTTTCGATGAGTTTTCATTGACAGTTTACTCATCTATCAGTCATAGCTGCAAAAATTTTGTTAGCGCGCAGAACAAAGTTTCTATAATTTTCTTAAGAGCATTGTTTTCTTTTTGTTTGTTTGTTTTGTTTTTTCTGAGTCATTGCAGACCATAAATCCGTCATAGCTGAAAATGTCAGTTATGACTGAAACGATCTCAGAAGTGAAAAATTCTTTTGCGCAGTAGATAATATAATTTTTATTTCCGTACTGTCCGACGTGTACAGAGTGTATAGAAGACTTTAAACATGTTTTTTATCATTGCCCTCGGTTCTCAAGTATAAGAGAAAATATGAAACCCACACTTGGCGGTAGTTTGGAGTAGTGGAAAATTTGACAGCACTTATGTGTGAGTCCTCTATTAAATGGAAAGCTGTCAGCGAAGCATCGGCTCGCAAAAGGGACTGCAGACACCTATTTTTTTTTAACTTGGCTTCCGATCTCCCTGAATCAACTAAATCAATTGTACCTGATTTGCATAGTGGAAAGTGAAAGAATCAGATGGAATTGAAAATGGTGTTACATGGGAAGTAAGCGTGGTTGTAGTCCGATTTCGCCAATTTTCGCACTATGACATAGAAACATGAAAAGAACGTTATGCACCGAATTTGGTTGAAATCGGTTAAGCAGATTATGGGTTTTTACCTAAAAGTGGGCTGTGCCACGCCCACTGTCTAATTTTGAACGCGGTTCCTATAAAGTCATCTTATACCATCTCAGAGATAAAATTTAATGTCTCTGGCGTGTTTAGTGCTTGATTTATGGCGCTTTTAGTAGTTTTTAACAGTACCGTTATATGGGGAGTAAGCGGAGTTGCCACCCGATTTCAACTATTTTCACACCGTCAATAGAAGTGCTAAAAACATGCTTCTAGTGAATTTTGTTATTATAGCATTAGCGGTTTAGGAGATATGCACATTAAACCTATAGAGGCGGGACCACGCCCACTTTAAAAAGTTTTAACTGCAGATGCCCCCCCTAATGTGATCCTATGTACCAAATAACCGTCTTGTATTTATTGCGGAGCTTAGTTATGGCAAGTTATTTGTTTTGATTAATGGCGTTTTGTGGGCGTGGCAGTGGTCCAATTACGCCCATCTGCAATACCAACCGTCTCACGGTACCAAGAAACATGTCTACCAAGTTCATAAAGATATCTCAATTTTACTCAAGTTAGAGCTTGCACGGACGGACAGACGGACGGACGGCGACAGACAGTCACCCGGATTTCAACTCGTCTCTTCATCCTGATCATTATATAATATATACCCTATATCTAACTCGATTAGTTTAGGTGATACAAACAACCGTTAGGTGAACAAAACTATTATACTCTGTAGCAACAGGTTGCGAGAGTATAATAATAGTACTCATCACCTGACTGACCTGAAATGAGATTACTGTATTGTAATTGCTTGACAATCTCGTCGACTATCGAATTTTGAATTCTTTCGACATACCATATATATTCTAATATAACAATTTACTTGTACAAAAGCCATAATACGGAGACAATTGTTTTCTCATTTATTATATATGTATATTTACCTACATAAACATATGTAGGTATATAAGAATAAAAACTTATATGGAGCGTTTACTATCTTCTGGCTAAATATGACGTGTAAATTTTCGCTGTCTGGCAGTAGTTGAAAAATATGTATTCATTTCTCTGAGCTGTCTGCTTGTATACATGGTTGTCTAATACCTATTTGTGGTTGAGCACAAAAATTGTTTCAAATATAAAAAATGTTTTAGAATGGACGGTAGCGACAAGTATGTAACAGTGGGTAAACGAAATATGCTCAGTTTAAATGTAAATTAATGCATGGTCTACCAACAAGGACGCCGTGATGTAAAATTAAATAAAACACTAAAATTTAGTAAAATATTGGTTCTTTTTTATTATTCAGATAATTTTATGTCAT